AAAATTTTTTTTTTTTTTTTTTTTTTTTTTGGAAAATTCGTTAAAGCGGTGCTCTTACTAAGAGGAAAAAAAAAAATCCATTGAACGAAGAGTAAATGCATAAATTCACATAAATTGCATCCATAGTGATTTTAAAGTCGATGTCCACATTCGCTTCTTTACGTGTATATTTGCTGTTGGAGATATTTCCTGGTTATATGTGAGAATTAAATGTTAAAATTTGTTCGATAAATATATCAATTCCACGTTAATTGAATTTGCCAGCTTGTATCTGGGCAATTAATTTTTCCATTCTTTCCGATATTTATTGCCATTATTTCTTGGCTACAAGCAAAACTCAGCCTCGAGTTTCGTTTGGTTTTCGTTGAATCTATTTTCACGCTGGACAATCCGTTCTCGATACGAGCACACCGTGCTTTCTTTTGCGGAGGACGGACAAGTTTCCTATTGTGGTTGCGTCCAATTCACGTGAATCAAAAAGTCCTATTAGAATCGTACAGATCGTGAAGTTTGGAGGAATTTTGAAAAATTATTATCCGAACGCTGTGAAAATAATTGTTTATTAATTACGTCAATTTCGTGCTGCTCGATCGACATATCGGGACACCGTAGAAACGAGAGATTTTGAAAAATGATTTTCATTCGACTTCAAGGCAATGTCTAAGAACGTGTCACTTTAATCAGAATACATACCAATACGTATATAACATGAATTATAGCTCTAATATACTATACACAGTATATATATATATATATATAGTAAACACGTTTACATGCGAATATGCTTTTATCACTTTCCCGAAAGTTTGCAATTTCGCATATTACACCCTGTAAATTTTCCCACGTTACCATGTATCCTCTGGATCTTTATATTCGCAGTTATCAAAAGCTTCGCGAAAACGAATAAAAGGGATAACACGAGGTTGTTAAATATTTCGAAATTAACCGACTAAACGTAGTTCCCCGTTTCGCCGCTAGAGGCGCTTCTCCGTCCGCCGGCATAGAATAACAAGCCTAATATAATCCAATGAACTTATGATAGATTGAAATGAATTTTCTCAATTTCTATAATTCGTCGTATCATTTTCCCATACTCATTGTCATTGTATTCCGACTGTATTACCGTATTACATTTGCGGTTAATATATCTGACATATTATGACGCACTAAAGTAATGGGAGCAATGGCTAATTAAATGATGAATTTTAGTAACGTGTGGTAGTGCCCACATTAAAATCGCATGTATAATATATTCGTAGGTGATTAATCCGTCCGAATCCTTGAATGCAACACGTGTGATTATACAGTATGCATTTATGATTGCATCCCACGGAGAAGCATTTGCCCAGTAGCCGGTGACACGTTACACGTACACGTGCACCTACGTTACACGTAAACCACCAGACTGACTGCAGAGTTTGATAACAGAGTTTGGCAAACCTGGAGGTATTCCCTTTGAGACAGCATATACCGTACAGAGAATCTGTCATTTGCATTTCATCTGGATATATGGTAATGATAGTTTAACTGTTTAATTAAATTAAGTTTCTGTTAATTCGATCCCTCTGTGAAATAGCGTCATTCGCCTGATGGAGACTCTAGAAAATATTTATTGGAAAAAAAAAAAAAGAGAAAAAGGATAAACGATTATACAATGGACGAGGGTCTGAAAGTGAAATGAAAGATTTCTTATTAAAAATAATGAGTGGATCGCGAATAATTATCCTCGCCTCGTTAATCTTGATTGCTGTTGACTTTGACCTTTTTCTTTTGGATCCTGTTTAATAATCAGTGATAATGGGCACGTTACGGATAATACGTGACTTTTTCATTATAGCAGTGAGGTACCAGTAAGTTTAGCGTAATTAATGTATCCCCGGATTTCAAGTTGTTTTTTTTTCTTACTGTTTCACCCTGATGTCATTTGTATACTTTCAATGTAAACGCAAAGTGGTTGATTTACGTTACATTCTATTTTAAGGACCCAATGGCGTAGACAACGTAAGGCGACAAAGTGGAAATTCAGTAATGAGGGGTTGTCGGATGAGCCACGATGTTAACGTTATAGTCGACTTCATCTGGAAAGATTCGTTATGAATGAGCTTAATGGTTCCTGTTATCTCAAATAGGGTATGTTAACTGTTATAAATTAATAGTAACACTGGTCATTCTAATATATTAATTTTTTCTTTTTACCTTACCGAGACTACGCTCTTGTCAATCTCATATAAAGCAATTATTTATTTTAAGGACCCAATGGCGTAGACAACTTACGGCGACAAAGTGGAAATTCAGTAATGAGGGGTTGTCGGATGAGCCACGGTGTTAACGTTACAGTCGACTTCATCTGGAAAGATTCGTTATGAATGAGCTTGATGGTTCTTGTTATCTGAAATAGGGTATGTCAATTGTTATAAATTAATAGTAAGACTGGTCGTTACAATATATTAATTTTTAGTTTTTACCTATTCGTTATGAATGAGCTTCTTGATGGTTCCTGTCATCTGAAATAGGGTATGTTAATTATTATAAGTTAATAGTAAGACTGGTCATTATAATATATTAATTTTTAGTTTTTACCGAGGCTACGCTCTTGTCAATCTCATGTAAAGCAACTATCGTTGATTAAATAACTTAAATAATAACTTAATTAAATAACTCCAGTAAGTAGCAGCAAAACTGAAGTTCTGGCTAGAACAGTCTGGAGTGGGCTTATCGCTATTATCAAATGGACTTTCTGATGGGGATAATTAAAGCCATCTTAATTATCATTATTATTGCAACAGGTGAAAGAAATCCATAGCCTCTCACCTCTTTTTAGTCCACCATTTAAGGTCGTCCATGTTTATCGCTTCCGTTATAAAAATTGTTACCAGTGGCGCCATCAAGCGTAAGTAAAATTTTAAACCTCTTGAGATCCGACACGTAAAATTGAAATGGCCGTTTTGAAAAATTTTCAAAGTAAATTCTACCGAGTCAGGTTCACTTTGGCAAGAAGCAAGTAGCTGTCGTCGAGACCAATATCAGGAAGTCGTCCCGACGCCATTTTGAGAGAAGAAAAGTACGTGGTCGTCCGTAAAGCACTTCCGCGAGGCAGTGCGAGCTACGGTAGTGTACGTTGGAGGATCTATTGTCTGAAGAAAAAAAAAAATCCAACCATCAAGCAAAGCTACGTGGGATGAAAATCTACGTGGTAAAAGTGACAAGTTTTCATACCGTAAAAACGCAAAAGTGGTTTCGTCGTCCGCTACACCGTGAGACGTAAGAATTGTCGCCTGAGCCCAAGCGTGTAATTTATGAAAGCATAAGTATGATACAAGCCGTATATAAAAGAAATAAATGATCCTTAGTCCGTTAGGTAATAGTTCTGTCAATTCGTATTGACCGAATAACGTATTGTGTTATTGGTCTTAAAGTTTTAATAAAATTGTTCTGCTTACCGTTATGGGAACTAATCCAGTAGTTAAAGCATCAGTTTGACTCCTGCCGATAGACCAAGGCTGATAAATATCCCTGGTAGTAATTCTGTTTACACGCAACTTCCTCTACCTGGAGTCGTATACGTGTACACCACCGTAGCTGAACTTCTTATCAGCACGAGTTCACCTGTCTAATTCAGATACCGTGGACCATTAAAGGGACCTAGTAGAGTGTGATAATCTCAAAATTGGATTATCTTGATTCCTATGTTTGGGATAAGACATTTTTATGGAATCAGTGCGTGTATATTTTTTGCAAACTGTATCGTTACTTACGTTATACTTTTTTGGCGAATTAAACAGATTCAGGTATTATTTGCATGTAACTCTTCTTTACCTGTATGCCGACTGTGCATATGATTCGTTTTCTTGATTTTCAATTATTCGTAATTAACATTAACAAGCGTGCACTCTGATTGGATAAGAGTATAATACATAAATTTTTTATATTTTTTTATTTTTTTAATCGGACATTTAAAATGGCCGTTGAAACTTTTCGATTCCTTTCGAGCGTTGATTTAACGCTTTATATACGGTGCACAGTGATGGGGAAAATTTGCAAGTCCACGTTTATACCTTGAATGTTGTATGAATGTCGGTATGAAGAATAGGAAATTTTCAATAAAGTAAAACGACTTGTAATATTTAGCGTCCATAATAAAATTCAAACGTTTTACCTCTTGGTTGTAAGTCCTCAGACCATTTTCACCCAGATGCAGTATTTTCGAGAGGTTTCAATTGTAATTTTTATCTTTCACTTGAACGTTTCTCTATCGACCTGAAAAATCAAATTCGAGATTCATTATAAAGAAAATATTGCACGCATTAATGTAATTATAATTTTACGGCGTGGACGCCTTAAGATTTCGAAAATGGGGAATTGGGATATAATAGCTTTTTTTTTTTTTCTAAATGACGTTTAAATGTAGGCCGTTAAATATTTGTGGGTTGAAACAATTTCAATTTCATAGTAGAGTGGCAGCGAGGTATATATGTATATAGTTGCTATCAAGATGCGCTCGACGAATATCGAATTCTCTCTTGACGAAGTAATTTCCTTCATTAAACGCGGTCGTATCAGTAAACTTGGTAACTCATGAAAATGAATGGACATCTCGTGGTATCGCGCGAAGAAACCGGCGAAGCGTTACTGCAAATAGAATAGAACGCATTGAGAACGGAATCACGATGAAAATAACATCGAGTCGCGGAACTCGAAAATGTTTGCGGTGATGTTGCACCGCGCGTAATGCAGATGGCGCTGTATGTCGTGAGATGTGGGAAGCCGTTAAAAAGTAAATAACGTTACATACGAGTAGTAAGCAAATACGTGCCTTCCTGTAAATTGGATGGAATATTTTGAAGTAATTAAAAAGAATAATAAATAAATTGCGTATACAGTGCACTAATGGGAATCCGCCTGAAAATAATAGGCAGTTAAAGCGAATCCTACGTAAATTGTCTTCCCTGTACGTTTAAACGGTTTTCAATTTACATGTGCGCCAAATTCAATTTCCTTCCACGTGAAACGTGACAATCGATTCCGCGAGTGACGTCATTTATACAACAAACCACTTTATCGCGTGATATCGATGAAACATCCGCAAGTTCTTTGTTAGTACATACTCGTTTAATTGAACGTCCTGTGACGTTATTACGTTTTACCAGAGTTCAGGACTTGTCGATATTTTGTCATCGTTCAAAATGATGTTTACATCGTCACGTGAAACCTCTGACCGAACTTCGAGTTTGCCGTGTCGCTGAGGGTACATTACGAAATTTATTGCCAGTCCTCCGAGTATAGTTGTGCCTCGCTCAATTCCATGCGGGTAAATAATGTTGGATTCCCAAGTGTAACGACGAGTAGAGGTTTTAATATTTTTATTAACTCGATTATCCGTGTTGGGAATTACTATGATCCTGACCTAACTGAGTGGTAGACACCTTGGCTGCTTACTAACTGCTTACTGCTCTCTAAGGTCTGTGGAGGATGGTTTTTGAGAAGGTTTTGAAATGTGGAGAGGGAAAGTACTTTAGATTTTGGAAATTGTACATTACGGTAGGTATACGATGGAAAAGGCCCATTCTGAGTTTTTATCGTTTGGTTGTGGTTTTTAAGGATTGGCGGATTTTTCTGGGATTATGGGTCTTAGGTCCTTACGAGACATAAATATAATAGGAAAACTGAAATAAGTGCTAAGGAAGGAGGTTGGTCACGTTCATGGAAAAATTGGAAAGAAAATAATAATTCGGAGGTTTATACGACAATAAGGACATGAACAATTTTTACAGCACTGACAGTGAATTTCGAAAGTTATCCTAAAGTTTTCGATATATTAACACTTTTTTTTAAATATTGCTACGTAACACACCCGGGTTGATTAAACGAAAAGAGAAGAACAGCCCAGCGCTGCTGATTCAATAAACCTTTATTTTCATTTTACAAAACAATGAATATCAATGATCGACCGTGAACCACAATTAACAAGAATTGCATACTGGTTTTGTTGTTATCTAATTCGAGTGTTAATGATTTTTGTAATTTTCCCCATCCAAAATATTTCACCTGACTTTCCAGTATCGGTTGTAGCTCCGCATCACCAGGCAGGCATTGAGAGATGTCAATAGAGCACGATAACTAATTCCATGAGGAAACAACCATAATTACGAGGAAGTGTTATCAGTCTTGAGGAAGGATTGACAGGTTAGGTTAGAGCAAAGGAAAATTACGAAACATTGATCCTTTCTAGACAAGTTTGACAGTTAATTCTGTCGGACAGTTTATCCTTTTGTCAAAATTACTACACAATACATAACGAGAGTTTTCTACGTAAAGAGCGACGCGATTTTTTCTAGACATATACATATATGTATAAATATATACACAGGGTTATTCAGTAGAAACGGACCACCCGTAATAGCCAATACATTTGATTTCTATCGTAAAACCACGTTTCAGGTGGTGCGTTTCTACTGAATAACTCGTATACATATATAAATAATCTCTAGAGGTTTATCTTCGCATTGTTATGTAATCCAGTCTACATTCGGTGAAACCCCCATTTCTCTCTAGTATGAAGTTGGACGCGAGACGCCGTGGACACATTACTTTTTCAGTAGCTACCGTCATGTCGGTTTAATTTATCGTCGTGAACTTTACCGCACACCACAGTTCCCAAGAATACCTGGGTTGTCGCCGTAAGCTTGTTTTCGGGAAATATATAACTCTAATGAGACAGTAAAAAAAATATGTTTATAAAAAAAGTTTTTACTTTTACGATTTTACTTGTGACTAGTTTTGACTAGCGTAGTCGTACGCCAGTCTAACGTGTAATGGCGGACGTTCGTGTACTCCGGGACGATTCTCTTGATTTTATGACGCGTTGAAAGTGCTTTGTTATACAAGTGAAAATGATCTGTGATAAATCATCAACATGCTGGTGAAACGTAAATTACGTCGTACGATCTGGTATCACGATACGTGAATAAGTATCGGTAGGGAACAACCCTCTGCACTTACCACCTTCATGTGCCACTTTGAGGTTAGTGCATACGTTAAATGATTAAATATAAGCAGATCAGAGACATCACTATTAATTTACACGATGTAAGTAACTTCCAATTGAGTGGTAACAGTGAGTGATTCTAAAAGATTCGTAACGTAACACTTATCAATTCTAAAGTAGTCGGCAATCGTTATATCAGCCTAGTTTATTTTTCAATTTCGATTTTTATATCCGCCATATCTTCTCTCTCTTGTATTAATTACACGAATCCAGTATCGGTAATATCACTTATTGTTAGTAACGTTGTGCTATTGGGTCGTTTTTCATGCAAACTTCGTGCACGTGCAGTGTAGAAACAGCGAATTTATTATAATGATATTCGTTCCTTCGATAAAAAATTGTTTGGCCATTCGATGGATGGCTTTAATTTTCTACGCGATGCTGAGCGATGACAAAGTGTTATATCCTTGCAGCCGCTTGTACTGTACGTTATCCAAGCTAACGTAATCTAACCTATAACATAATTCAAGTTAACTCATGGAATTCAGATGCGGGTGAAGTTAGCAGATCAACTTCCAACAAATCAGAAATAAATGGGACTGCTTTTCGCATGCAACTGTGTTCTTATAGTGTCTGATACATTTTAGTAATAGCACTTGCGATTTTACCCAAAAAATAACAAAGATTGAAAAAATGATCTGCTAACTTCCCGTAACAGATTGTTTTTTCAGTGTTGATTTTTTTAGGTAAAATCGTGAGAATTAATATTAAAATGCAGCAGAAACTATAGAACTCAGTTGCATGCGAAACGAACTCCCATTTATTTGTCATTTGCTGAAAGTTGGTCTGCTAACTTCACACGCATAAAATTCAGGACCTGTAATTAATGGGAATTTCGATTGCGTACTCACAGTATATAACGATTCCATGCAATTAACGTTCGCCATCCTGTTAAATTAAATATTATACAGTGGGGTCATGGTACATTCAGTTAATCACGCGTTTAATAAGTTTATCATTGTTTTATTTGACTGTACGAAATTTTCATTACACTACAAAACGAAGCATCCACCATTCCCATTCTAATACCAGACAAAAAATTAACAATTGCGTGTGGGCAATGTGGCAATTTTCTACCCAGTGACAAAATAGTAACGTACAAGTATTTTGAAACTTATATTTTTAAGTAGAAAATCCTTACGTCGTAGATACGTAATCGATACCCTGCTGTGACGTAATCGGTGACAGTCGAAGAAAAGATTAGGGTAATTTCCATTTTTTTTGTACTCTTAGATTTCTCAAAAATATTGTCCCACCGTCGGACTTCCTTTACATGAAAAATACTACTTTCGCATTAATAGCGCGATGTTTAGCGAATTTATGTAATTATTCGTATGAGAAAATTAATCGAAATGAAAATTAGGAGTAAATATTAATTTGCACGCAAAGCCGGATGTTAATTTATGTTTTGCTTATGGAACACAAAATTTGCGTAGTTTTTCTTACTGATTTTATGCATTGGACGGACGTATCCTTATTCATATGAATATATATATATAGTTAATGTAAAATATACCATTTTCCATACCTGGAATACTGAAGGACGTACGTGCTGTCGCTGAAGTAGATAGCAGCTCCGCTCTTGAGTCACCCGGTATAAATTGCGACAACTTGACAAAGAGTTACATATTTAAAAGTTAAAAATTGTCGTCCTTCCAGCGTACCCCGATTTTTTTTTAATAACGGTTTAACTCGCTATCTACGCTTTCGCGTTTTTCAAGCTGCAAGGACGAAAAAAAAAAACTTATTAAAATCCAATTCTGTTACGTGGAAAATTTCTTTACCCAATACTTCGAGCTATTTCGATAACGTGCGGACGCAGTTAGAAATTTGGAAAATTAATTTTCACGTCAGCTTCAAGTGTCTATTTTTATTCACAAAAGTGTACCTGTCATCCTCCACTGTTTTCTACGGTAAAGATAAATTGGATGTTTATATATATATATATATTCTATGGGTATATACACATTATATTAGCCATATAACATATATATTATTTTTTGCCGGGTGTATACATGTAAATATACCATTCTACCCAGAGAACTGAATCTTTTAGTAGGATCTCTCTAATCCCTTGTTTCAAAAGATTTTTTGCTTGGCGAACGAAGTGTAGTGAAATAAAAAAAGGGGATACTGAGCATAACTTTTTTTTCTTCCTTTTCCGACAGATCAAAATCATTCCTTTATCAGACTCTGCTTTTATATTTTTGATGCAGCCGAGTATATTCATTGCTTTGCCGAAAGATAACAGAAAAAGGGAATAAAGTTTCGTATTCATCGTTCGCGCGTCATTGGACTTTCATTCACTCATTCGCGTCGACATATGTAAGAACGTTGACGAATAAGGTTAAGTAGATCGGACATCTTATGATGTATGATGTCACGCGAGAATGGGGTGTCGGCGAAAATCTACGGTTAGATTTTACCCATTGAAATGCTTTATATAGATATACACCGTATGTATCAGAATCAGGACACAGAATGCAGAGGCATGTCCAGTCAACTTAAATTCAGTCAAAGGTAACTGCGTTTCTCACTAGATCGTACCGGTCGGTAAATGAAATCTGCATTATCGACTGTGCAATTGTCCTAGCTGTAAATTAAGTTGATAAAACTTTCTCTTTTTTAAGTCATATGTCCTATTCGTATTATCTTTCGGTAATACGCAATCTGTGTAAACTTCTTTTTAAATCGTTTAATTCCCCAAGCCTTTATAACCAATAAAGGCGGATGTTAAATTAGTCCCGCGAGTGCGATAATAACGGAGTGTCGTAATTCTTCAGGAGTGTCTGCATACAAAACCAATATAATTTACGTGGGGACTGAAACAAAAGTTTGTATGAAGAACCTTGCTCGTCGGATTTTCGAGACTAGAGATTCCCCACGAGACACGAAAATGATTAATGACAAAAATCTTTCACTATACGTCTTCTGTGAGATAAATCTTGAAACCTCTTCTTTTTTTTTTTCCTCCGATCACTCATCATTTGTCCTTTACTCTTAGACATAGGCTGTCGCTCATTTAAATTACTGAAAATTGTTTTACTCAATATCTCTTTTATGAAGAATTATTGTTTCCTTGGGTCTGATGACTTTTTACGTTACAGCCTCCCGCGGGGGAAATGCAGATAAATGCACTGTTTCGCTGGTTCTGCATTTTACCTTCATTTAATTTTCTTTCTTCCTTCTTTCTTTTCTTAATAAAGTTTCATCGATCACTTCACAGTTGCAATTGGCAATGACTGACAGGTCTGCGTTTTTCTTTATTCACTGCGCGGAAAGCTTTTCTTTTTCCATATAGAAACCAATGAATAAATCAATGATCCCATCGAGTGAACTTGCCAGTTATGGTTTTACCTTGAAATGAAGTTATTATTATACTGTGCAGCGAGCCGAAAGAATTTATTCAAATTATTCCAATTCACTTTCTGATTTGATCCTTGATCATCTTTTATACAATTGATGCGATATTCCTCTGTGACCTCATTTACGATTTCGCGTATTTTCCTTGCTATTCAAGGATCTTGTCGACGCCTCGGTTAACTGTATTTCATATATTTACGATAATCGAACTGTGACGCTTCTCTTTCCTTCTTACATTGAAAGTGCATTCGCAGCGGCCAATCGAAAATTTCTTCGATTTTTCTATCTACCGAAAGCTTTTTTATTATATGGATCGATACCTTCTTCATCGCCTTACTGATAATCGTCAGTCTTAAATTTGACAATTGGATGCAATATAGCACGATGCAATTTCAATGTCTTTTTTTTTTCTTCTCCTTTATCGTTATCAGATAACAGATTTTCAAAGTATGAAAATTTGTTTAGAGATCCGGCTGTTTTTTTTTATTATTTTTTTAAAATTATTTTGTTCCCTGTACACGTGGATGCCGTGTACGATAAGAGTGATAAGGGCCAGTCGCTGTTTGAAAATCGAGGGGTCGGTATTTACTTAAAAACGAAAATATACGGTTTAGTTGGTTATCGTTACATTGTGCACATTTTTTTTACCCAATAACAATGGTTAACCACTTTTCAGTAACAATGGTTAATCTTTATCCTTCGTTGGGATTATAAAGTCCATCTTGTACCAGGGTCCATTTGCATTTTCTTTTAAATCGGAATTGTTCTGTTCAAATACCCGTAACCTGAAGGGACGCCATTCGTTTCGACCCTTCTTACAATTCGCGACCTTCGAATCGCTATACCAGGAACGTCCGACGTTTTCTCTTTCTTTCCTTCTTTTCACTAACTTATTTATTTTCCACTCCATTCCTACATTCATAGCCCGTCCACTATTTTAAACACGTCCCTCTTGTCCCGTGAATTGAAGTTTTTTGAATGTTTTGAGAATCTTTGAAAAAAAAAAGTGGACCCACAACACCCGATACATTTTTTTTTTTATTTACAACTGATCACCGAGGTCTACGTATATACAGGGTGGTCACGAAGTAAGTTCGAAATAAAAAATTTCTTGCCGATTTCAATCGATTCTAATCGGGATGGAAATTTTGTGACAGGAAATTTCAATTTTGTAACTATGCATACGGACGTAGAATCGTATATCAATGTAGGAATAAAATTGAAATAAATATCGAAAAAGTCCTTTTTTTTTCTTGTGCTCAAAAAATTATTTCCAAATATTTTCCAGCTGACCTCAGCTGTGGTATCGATTGACTGTCTAGTGAAGTAAGACGCGTAGCGCTACCCTAATCAGTGACTATCGCCGTTACGGAAGGGAAAATTCGATTTTTTGTGCCTCCAAAATTATTTTCCAAAAACTTCCAGCTTACCTCAGATGTACTATCGATTGACTGTCTAGTAAAGAAAGACGTGCGGAGCTACCTAATCTGCTAATATTGCCGTTACGAAAGGGGACACCCGTGGGTGAAACGTGGATATTGCAAAAGTACCCCTGTTCATAAGATAGGAAAGGCTACAAAATCGATGCTTATCAACAAAGTGGAAACAGCTCAGCTGGAAAATGAGCTCTATTATACGTTGACACGCGGCACCACCAAATAAGGGTTTCGCCTTTATCTTTTAAGGGGGATGTTTCTTAAGGTATCGTTTTACTTTACGACAATTCGAATTCCATAATAGAAATATTCAATCGAAGATTTCAAACATACGTTACCTTCAGCTCCACGCACTGAGAACGTACTTTTGTTGTCGTTTTTACCATCAACGGTCGCTTTATTCTTTCAGTTTAATGGCGGTAAATTCAAAAAAGCTAAATTTTTGATTGGTCGATTTTTTTTTTAATACAAAAAAGAAAACCACGTTGGATGTAAAATTTCGATCGTTTGAAAGTTTTGTATTCGGCTTGTCGAAAAAAATAAACTGAGTCGAGTTTAAGATTTATTTTCAAAATTCCAAGTAAATCGCTCACGGGTTTGAACGTCAGACTGGAAGGAACAAAAAAAAATGGCAAGCAAGTAGTTCGCCCACTATAAACAAGATGTAATAAATTAACAGATAAACGTATCAGAAGCCTTCAGGATTCGACGTTGATTAATAGACGGTCTTTTTCGTCTTGGTCAATTTCTCATCTTAATTCCATGACTTATTGTTTCCAAAAAAAAAAAAAGAAAAAAAAGGAAAAGGCAAGCCTCAATTATCGTAAATAATTAATATTAGCCTCGGCCGGATGGTGAAAAAAAGTTAAATACTTCATCTAATCCCGTTGACATTAATCAAGTCACGAATTACGGCATCTGTAAGTGAACTTTCTTTAATTTTTACTGCACGAAGACATTCTTTCTTACTATTGTTTATTTTATCAACACAATTTTCGAAACGCAACCGTCGCGATGCGACAGAATTGTCGTAGATTTACAAATGTCTTGCGAAACGTCTGACGTATTCTGTAATATTTCAAGGAAGACAACATTGCTTGTATCACTATATTGTACAGTCTGATGTACAGGGCGTGTCAAAAGTTGTAGTAAAAATGAAAATGATAACGTCGAAATAAATGGATAAGAAGCGATGAGCGATGATAGAAAAACACGAGGATGAAGAGCGGGTCGAAAATTTCCTAGTTTCGTGCGATAACAGTCTGGTGAGGGGGAAAAAAATATTTTTCAAAAAAAAAAAGGAAATGCATTTATATAAGTCGTCCGAAGATAACGTAACGGGATTTTTTTGAACGATATTCACTATAGCCATTGTTACCGTTAGAATCTATTCTAACCTTGTTGTCACATAAATCATTCTTAATAAGTTGTCATCTGTTCACAATACTCTTATCAGTACCAGCTAACTTTCTTTTGATATATTTATCACGTTACTTCCCTCCTCACGATTCCCACGACACTTTCCTAATTCACGCCGCCAAAGTTTTCGGTCTAATCCATTTGATTCGAACGACACGAGCGAGCAAAAATAAAGCGGAGTTTATATACCACAGTGACTTTAGACCATCAAACCGTAATCCTAAGGTTAAAATGACTCTTTTTTTCTTTTATCGGCCCCTAATAAATTTAAAGACTAAATAAACGTTGGCATTCCATAAACTTAAATCGACGAATAAATTCGAAATTACATAGCGATACAACTCTGTGCCGTTGGATTGTCGATCGTCGCGCCCCTAGCGGTTGTCGACGCATACGACATCTGTGAGAAGCGAAGTTAAGCTCTGTCCGATCGGCTCTGCTTAGTCGGTAACGGTTCTCTGGCGCTTGGCCCCCTACGAGGGCATAAAGCCAAAAAGGAACAAGAAGAAGAATGTATAGTCCGTCCATAAATGAACTAGCCTTAGAGGGGCGAACTTCTTATGGGTTTTAAAATAAATCAGTGTCCCAGACAGGACTTTTAACTTGTACCGTAGACCGTAGTCAAATGTTTATTTCTTTCCCTTCAAAGCCGTCAGATTGCACCGTAACGAATAGTGCTCCAGTAGTCACTTTACTCGAAGTGACTTTTACTTGATTTACCTTTTTATTAAATAAAAATGAAAAAAAAAGTCAAAATTGAATTACACTCATTCACAATTTATTTCAGGCTCTATCCATTGATATCCACACCACTCGTTCCAATACGTTCGTTGCATTCGGTTGAACCTTCAACAAGAGAGATTTACTTTCCATTATGATCTCTGGGCATTGTTGAGGAATAATTAATTTCCTTGGATTTGCCAACTTGCCTTCCACTTAGATTTACCGACAGGATCTTATTTGGAATCTGAGATAAAGAGTAAGTCTTTTTTTTGTTTTTTTTTTCTTCAATTTTTTTTTCTCTCTCTATTTCATGCAAGACTCGATCTCCCTTTTGCGACCGATTTTATTAAACAGACATACCAGAAAGGTATTCTGGAGTGTTGAAAGACATTGAAAATGTCTGGCAAACTGATCTATTTGATTAATTATTATTTTTAATTGTTCTAATGGGAATTCCGACTAATTATAGTTATTTTCTTCTCTTGCAGATACATTCCTCTGGGTCTTCTGCTTCTGATGCATTTCGCTTCCTCGCAATTGGACTCGAGTCCTTCTCCGGTTAATGAAACCGAGAGCCAGCTGGATCCTTTCGATTTGACATTCGTGCCAATTTCTGGACTGGAATGTAATTGCATCCAGCATCAGCACGAGACGGATTGTCGATGCAGAGGCGACAGCCTGTACTCGATACCAACGAATCTGACCGATTTGACAATTTTGTAAGTACGTTCAATTAGTTTTATTAATTAAGAGACTGGGTTATGTGTGCTTAATTAATTAACAGGAAGTCCTGATATCAGCTTTAAGCGTTATCATGGTACAGAGATGTCAGACGTCAACCCGCAACCGATGCGGAGACTCGAATTTTCTATGGGCAATAATTAATACTGGCTAATTTTGAGCACCAGCTCCCAGAGGGCCCCGGCTCGTAAAACGCAACGGAAGGAAGCAGCGAGGTCTTGTGAGAGCGGAAGGTCGCTGGAGAAAGAAGGAAGAAGAGGAAAAAGTGAAGGAAATAGGAGGAGGAGGAGGAAGGGAAAAGGAATTGTGGCGAAAGTTAATTGGAAGTGAGGAACGAACGAGATAAATCGGACAAGTGGGATGAGATTCGACGCGAATTTAGTAATAGAAGCTGAGTGCCAGACGCGGCACAGCGATTCCGTTTCTAAAGGAATTTCAGGACAATGCAAGGAGCCGCAGCGTTTAAAGTGCCGGAGAGCAGAAAGGTTAAAGCCAAGAAGTGTATACACGAAGTTTCACGAAGTTTCTTCTCTTCTTTGATTAAGTTTAAGAGGTTAGGTTCTAACGGCGGTACGCTGGATTCCCTAATGGCGTAGATAATAGAGTTACGACGATAATAATAAGCGAATGATTTAAGTTGTAACTATTAAAGCTCGAGGAACTGTGCGGCTCGAAGAATCTGTGGGAAAACTTTTTTTTCTTATAAACTTTGTGTCGATTTTTAACGCGTTGAGAATTTTTTTGTTAGATTAAAATTTTTACTTCCTAATGCCTTTCGTTATTTGTACAATCTTTAAATTGACGTTACTCGGCTTCTTAAGGAAAGCAGCTTTTTCCTTAAGTGAATACGAAAAAGAGATTTATACTGTTTCGTGTCAATTGCCAATTTTTATACGAGGCTTTACGCTTGAGCGAATCGCGTGACGTAACATCCGGATATTGTTTTAGTCGCCACTGAGAATTTTCCTTTGCTGTCAAGAACATCTCGCAGCGTTCAGCCTGGATTTTGGGTGCCAAAGGAAAAGCTGTTTTCATTGATCATAGGATTCTTCTTTTTTTTTTTTCTTCGACTCGCTCTGTTATGACATTATCCATAATACCCTTGGGGGGCTACCCAAATCTCAGTCGTATGGACTTCATCCATAAATTCTTGTAACTTCTATTTCGTTTTTTTTTTTTTTTTTTTTTTTTTTTGAAATTGGACCTTTTCGGTTCGTGGCTTGCTCGAGAAATATTTATAAAAAACCAGGAAATTGACTGAAATTCCTTTATCCGTCTGGTATTACTTCAGGGACTTTCTATCTGTTATTCAAAAGATTGTACATGGGAAATAACTAATTAGCCGCTGATACGTTATACCGAGTGGCCTAATTGAAAATATTAACAATAGCGAAATGGAAGTACGAATTGTGTAATACCTCCAGTTACTTTCAGTTAGATAACTAAGGATACGTATACAGTATAAATGTCATGAATAGCTCGAGGAAAAAAGTGCCCTATTTTATTTTGTTTATTTTTTTCTTGACTTCTGCTCCTTGGGAGGGGGTGGGGGGGGGAAAGAAAGCAGCACAAACGCAAAGATTCAAACCTAAAAACGGATGCTGTAATTTATCAAGACTTCGCGGACTGTCATACATAAGATTGAGAAGGACAACGGAAATGGTTAAATTAGCTGAGTCAAAATGGCGACGTAGCTTAAAAGAAGAGCGAAGAAGCTTGAGGAATGATGGTGGTTGGATTTTGTTACGGCGGGGCGACGAGGAATGCATTGGCATATCAGAGAAAGCAACTCGAAAAGGGGCTGCCGACAAGAGGGATCAAGATAGGGTGGGCGAAAGAAAAAAGAAAGGATTCGCTTCTGTATAGAAGTTCGTGGTTTTTCGTTGGACGTCCATATTTCAAGTGGGTTACAGCGAATGAGCCGTTACTATGAGAAAAAAGGATGCTCCAATCACTGAATCAGCGCCATTAATTTCAGGGAGCTTCGTCGCGTCGGGCACAAGGACGAATTTGGAAAATCGATTATTGACCAAAATTAAAATTTCACGGGACGCCCCTTGCCCCCTTATCACGATGATTTTTGTACAAGGGTCCACGGCGGGTCAATCGTTTGATTTTCAAAATTATATTTAGCATAACGAATATTAAGAAAGTTTTGCTTTCATCAATTGATCATCAATTGATACGAGGTATCTCCATTGTGATTCAAGGTCACGAATAATTTCTCAAAATTTTTATCGATAACCACCTTCTGTCCCACAAAGAGATGCATATATCTGTGCATACCTCAATTTCTGTACCCTCAACGTCGTAAGACTTTCCATAATTTTCTGTAATTTTTTTTCGCTAAAAAGCATTTCGAGAATCTCCGACATTTCGCAGAGTCTCCGATGGCTTCCGAATTATCTCTTCGAACTTCTACTTAATTTATCTCTTTCTCTTTTCCACTCATGGCG